TCTCAGAGGCCTGTCCCTGCGGCCTGAGGTGAGGGTGTGACTAATCCTGTCTGGGCCCTGGTTCCCTGGGGGTTCTATTTATAGAACTGGAGAGGGAGCAGACAGGATCAGATTGCAGCTCTGTGGGCCGAGGCCTGTCTCCTGCACGCAGACCTGCCCACCTCTCCTCCCAAGCTGTGGACAGAACTGCATGGAGGCTCGGGTGTCCCGGTCCCCTCTGGGTCTCTGCCCAGGCTTGTCTGTCCCCTCCCTCTTTCCGGCAGAACTACAGCCTGTATTTATGGCTGGGAGCCACGCCTGGCCCATGGGCCTGCCTGCCAGCTGCTGTCTGCTCTTGTGCAGGTCACTAATGGTTAGCGGTATGACATCCACAGTCCCCCAAACCTGGCTCTTCTTCGTGAACACTGATACCCTTCGACATAGAGTGGCCGGGCAGCTGTGGCCACGGAGAGTTGCTGTAGAGTCGGTGTGGACAGGAGGGCTGGGGCGCCACCGGCAATCAGAGGGCTGGCTGTGGTACCCTGCAAGCGCCTAAATGAGGAAGGGGCGCCTGCCAGCAAAGAACGGGGCTCGTCATCCACACCCCTGCCCATCCGGGGCGGGCGACTCCGCTGCTGAGCAAGCGAAGACGGAAAATTTAACCTCAGTTCTTGTTCCTCAAGGCAGCCACCAGTTATCTTTCAAATTTTTTAAAAAACAAGGTGTGTATTTAGTTTAATCTTATTTAACCTTTATTGAGGCGGAGTCTTGCTCTGTCGCCAGGCTGGAGTGCAGTGGCGCGATCTCGACTCACTGCAACCTCGGCCTCCCAGGTTCAAGCAATTCTCCTGTCTCAGACTTCTGAGTAGCTGGGACTACAGGCGCACGCTACCACGTCCGGCTACTTAATTTTCAATTAAAAAATTTTTTTTTATCTGGTCAGTAAAATTACATTTGGGGGCACATATTCCTATTACTGCTCTATTTCTTTATAAGTAAAATACATTGAAAATGTACACTTATGCAGCAGTGCCCTATAACGATAACGCTGTACTTGTGTATAGATCATATAGGACAAATGAGGGCAAGGAGCGTCTGTATGTCCCTCACCCCTGCTCTCAGCGGAATGAATCCTTAACAAGCCCTCGAGGATCAACAAGACACACACTGGAGACCCCGCCCCCTCGGGAGGGCCGGCACAGTGACCTAAGCTGTTCAGGTCTCCTGACACCAAGGCACTGACCTTCAGACGCCGGACTGGGAGGTATTCCTCGGCAGGAGGATGGCCTGAGCGCTGACCCTTGCGCGACGAAGTGAGAGTGCCCAAGAAAAAAGCACTTCAGAAAGAGGGCCAACTGCATGAGCAAAAGGGGGGCCAGGATGGCCCCAGAGTGCAGCACCAATATCTAGGCCATGCATGTCCCCTGGGTGAACGAGTAATGTGCCCCACAACCAGCCACCCGGGCCTCAGCCAAGTCAAGCAGGTGAAAGTCGGTTCTTGGCACACAGCCTTGGCCAACATGGGTGATACGCTCCAATCTCCTGCTAAAAGTAGCAAAATTACGCCGCCGGTATGTGGTGACGCATCCGCTGCTAATGCCTAGCTACTTGCCCCGGAGGGCCTGAGCAGGAAATTGCTTGAAACCCCTGTGAGGCCAGAGGTTGCAGTGAGCCCGGATCGCGCGCACCCGCACTCCAGCGCCTTGGGGCGACCGCAGGTAGACTCACGCCTCAAAACACAAATGCCAACCCAAACAAACAGAAAACCAAACAAATCTTGCAACCCCACGAACTCCTTTTCGGACTGAAAACGTGTCGCCGAGGAGAAAGAGGAAGGACTGGCGTCCCTGGGTCGAAAGCCCCGGAGTACTCCTCCACTCGGGGAGGGCATACTGGACATGTCAGTCCTTTGCTCTAACCCGCTGTTTTTTTCCCATAGTATAAATGAAATATACTGATTTTCCCTCAAGGGCCCACTGGAAGTAACCCCCAAAGGCCCCATATAGCGAGACTGGGGCATATGGCTCCAGTACTGGGAGCTCTTTCATGGACAACAGTTCCCTTCCCTGTGGTCTTTCTTTTCCACGTGGCTCCCTTGTCCCACCCTCCGACCACTTCCCCTGAGCCTTTGGGAGGGCAGGATCGCTGTGTTTGTCTTCCACACCCGCCACCCAGAATCCTCTGCCCATGCCCGGCACCACTGTAAGATGGGTTCTGTGGCATCTCTCTGCCTGACTGCATACACCAACCTGGAGCCTAATGTAGCCTCCTGGGGGCAGAAATCCTTCCCGAATGCAGTAAAGACACAAGATCAGATCCTCATCCTTAGTCAGCCCCCCAGGGATCACCCCCCAACCTGTCCTGGGGTTATCAATCTTCAGTTTCTGCGAGCCGAGAAGCCGTTTGTATAAAGCCTCTGCGCTTCTTCTCCTCATCCTCAGAGGGCCTTTTGGGGCGCGTCTGTCTGTCTGCTACGCCTCTTAGGCCC